AGTTTGTGGCCAAAATTGACGAATAATTGTTGGCCAAGTGGCCAAAATTTAAAGGTTTTGTGCGATGACTGACCAAGTGGCCAACATTTAAATAAGGATTGATTGGCCAAGGAAGAACCATCTGTTAAGTGAGACTGTCTGGGATCTAAAGAGTGAATAAAAATGATTTTGAGGTTGTCATGTGATGTTTATCTTAAGATTTGTTCCAGAGTAAAGTGCATTGGGGCTAACATCTGGGATTGTGTAGGATAAGGTCCAGAGCAGCGCATTCATTCGTTTAGGTATATAGTTGAGGTTGTTGCGCTACTCACCTCTGTGGTTCTGGGACCCCACCAAGTAGGTGCTCTTAATCCAGCGAATAACTGGGGAGACATGAAAGAAAAGACTAATATTGGGAGCAGAACCATAGAGGAAAGTGCATGGTAAACATATGTATATGTACACGGTTTTATGTGAAATATATGGGATGCCTCAACAATTGTTAAATGTTTGTTAAATGTCTGATAAATAATAAAATAAAGATTAAGTATTTAAAAAAAAAAAAGAGAAAAAAAAAAGAAAACAGAGCAGCGCATTCAGGTGCACTGGGGCTCTCCACAGTTTTTCCAATTCTGTCCATCTCTTATAAGACACTAAGGTAGCTCAGGATGCTAAATGTGGCATATGGACTGTGAGATAATATCTAGAAAAATCTGGTAAACCAAGGTTGCCCTTCATCTTCATCAGATTTTAAGATCCTGAAGTGTTTGTAACCCCATATGAAGTTTAGTATGTCTGCTTGGAGGTTTTTAAGACCCTTGGCCGAAACAGTCACTGGTAGGCCTGCAAAAGGTTAGAGGTAGGCCTTCAAAACGGTAAAGGTAGAGCCATCTGTTATAAGACAGTAGAGTGGTCCAGGATGCTAAATGTGGCAAATGGACTGCAAGATCATCTAGAAATACCTGGTACCCCAAGGAGGCCCTTCATCTTTAGTGAGGACATCAGATTGTTTGATCCTGCAGTGTTTGTAACCTCATACGAAGTTTAGTATGTCTGCTTGGAGGTTTTTAAGGCTCTTGGCCAATAAACAGCCAAGGGTAGGCCTTCAAAAAGGTAGAGGAGCTTAAGTAGGATGGACATTGTAGTCAGAGCTATTTGTTTCATTTGTGTAACATGGAGGAAATTTCTCTAAAACCGAGGATAGTGTTTGACATGTAGAAGTCATTTGTATCCCCAAATAACTAATAACGTCTGCTTTCCAGCTATAGGGTTAGTTTGTTTTAAGGAGTTGGAGATGATTTGGGTCGATGTTGATTGGGAGCTCTAGTTTTCTAACCTGATAGGGAACCAGGTTTGGGGAAAATCCGGCCCTCCAGATGTTGTACAACTACAAATCCCATGAGGCATTGCAAGACTCTGCTAGCCACAGGCATGACTCCCAGAGGCAGATGCATGATAGGATCTGTAGTTTCACCACAGCTGGAGGGCCTACCCCTGTTCTAGGACTTTGTAGAGATTTGGTAAGGTTGTCAGAAGGTTCATAAGGGTCAAAACAATGTCATCTACATATAACCGTACAGTAGACGGCCTGTTCAGGATGTCAGCACCTGGGATGTCCTGGTTCCTCATGATGGAAGATGCCAGAGGTCCTCATATACTGTATATTTCAGTGTAATTGTTTTCCTGGAATTCAACTTTATAACCCAACCCCAGCCAAGCATTTGTTTGTTCTTTTTTTTAGTGGTTTTAGAAGCACCGTCAGGTCTCTAATGCTGGCTCTGATCCAGGTGGGGCAGATCTTCCTGTGTGTAGGAAGGTAGTGTACTCCCTCTTCAATTTTTTTCAGGTAGAGGTGGGGGGGTCGGAGTCTATGTCCACCATAGGGAGATTTACACTAACTTCCTGTGTAGTCACTGGGACAGGAAGTAAGGGAAGATCTGCAGCAGCACAGGAGGCAGGAATACACATCTGGACTTCTGACCCTCCCACACTCCGTTCACACCTTTAAAGGCTTGGGATGGATTTAGGCTTTGACCCATGACCCAGATTAGAATAATATAATGGACTTCATGTGAAAGAACAAAGTTCATGTAGCTCTTAGAGGCCAGATCCTTCTTTTTATGCTGCCACAGCAGTTTAGAAAATACAAGAGAGAAGTGGCCGGGCCGCTAACCAATTGAAACTGGTTTTAAGTGAAAATTAGGTTCATAACCTTAAGGAAGAACTCCAGGAACTGTACAAACTAACCCTTGCCATGCTGGGTTAGCCCCACTGCTCTTTTTTTTTCTCTAGGGGTTGGATTAAAAAAAAAGATTCACTCTCATAATCCTTGTTCCCCTCCACTCTGGTGGTGGTATGTTCCTCGGCATACTCACGTCTAATGGACCTGCATTAAGGTGGCCATACACTCTACAACCATCGCAAGACTTTAGTCTTGCGATGGTTGTACAGGGATTAAAAAAACGTACAATCTGCCTATCTTGGACAGGCAGATCGCACTCTCGATCATCGGAAGCCCGCCCCCCTGAGGGGCGGGCTTCCGATGACCGCAATGCTGAACGGGCAGTGTGCGCGTGCGCACACCGGCCCGTTAGGCATTTGTCTTCCGAGCACCGTTCTAACCAGCCGAGAGTCGTACGATTCCCGGCTGGTTTTCGAACATGCTGGTTCGACAGAAGACGTGCGACCGTACAGTAGAAACGGTCGCACGTCTCCGTTCACACTGCTCGAGTATCGTACGAAAAACCGATCGCATACGATTATCGTACGATAATCGTGCAGTGTATGGGCACCTTTAGACGCAATTACATCATGGGTCCTTAGACCACCGGAGAGGAGTCTCCTAGACCAGTGTAGTAGCCATGCAAAAATCAAGGATCAGGTGAATATTTTTTATTTTAGCCCCTAGACCAAAAGGAGCAGTTAACCCTTGCAATGCCGGTGTAGCCCCACTGCAAGGGTTAGCC